TGGATGGAGGTAGGGAGGGAGGAAGGGAAAATGGAGGTAGGTAGATAGGAAAGGAGGTAGGTAGGGAGGGAGGGAGGGTGGATGGATGGAGGTAGGGAGGGAGGGATGGATGGAAGATGGAGGTAGGTAGAGAGGGATGGTTTGAGGTACATAGGTAGGGAGGGGTGGATTGGTGAAAGATAGGTAGGGATGGAGATAGGTAGAAGGGATGGATGGATGGAGGTAAGTAGGAGAGGATGGATTATGAGGTAGTAGATAGTGATAGTGGTAGGGAGGTAGGATGAGTAGAGGTAGGGAGGTGGAAAGGTGGAGGTAGGGAGGTAGGATGGGTGGAGGTAGGGAGGTAGGGATGGGTGGAGGTAGGGAGGTAGGATGGGTGGAGGTAGGAAAGGTGGAAGGTAGGGAGGTAGGATGGTAGAGGTAGGAAAGGTGGAAAGGTAGGGAGGTAGGATGGGTGGAGGTAGGGAGGTAGGATGGGTGGAGGTAGGGAGGTAGGATGGGTGGAGGTAGGGAGGTAGGATGGGTGGAGGTAGGGAGGGATGGAGGGGAGAAGACTCAATGGGAGGTTTCCAAGTCAGTGGTTCGTCAAATGGGCTTACCCACATGGTTTCCGCCATGACAAAAGAGCAGCGGGATGAGATTTTAAACCTCTCTCTCTCTCTCTCTCTCTCTCTCTCTCTCTCTCTCTCTCTCTCTCTCTCTCTCTCTCTCTCTCTCTCTCTCTCTCTCTCTCTCTCTCTCTCTCTACCTCCGCTAGTTTGTTTCATTTATTGACTCCAGGGCACATATGGACTTAACTGGCTTGCTTGGCTCCATCAGTGTGTGTGATGGGGCTCGGGCTTACACGTAGGGGAGAATTTTGAAGGAATTGTGGATTGTATATTTGCTGTTTGGTGTATTTTAGGATTACTGTGAGTTGTGTACTTGACGTATGGTGTATGTTGGAAGAGGGAGTGAGGGGAAATGATTAATGGAATAATATGAGGAAATATAAAAAGCTAAGTAGAAGGGATTAAAAAAAAAAAGAAAATAAGAAACTTCAAACGAAGATATAAATGACTTAGGAAAAAATTGAATGTAACAGCCAGAGAGGAAGGAGAGAGGCAGAGAACAGAGAGGAAGGAGAGAGGCAGAGAACAGAGAGGAAGGAGAGAGGCAGAGACAAGAGACAGAGAACAGAGAGGAAGGAGAGAGGCAGAGAACGAGAGGAAGGAGAGAGGCAGAGAACAGAGAGGAAGGGAGAGGCAAAGAACATAGGGGGAAGGAGAGAGGGAGAGAACAGAGAGGAAGGAAAGAGAGGCAGAGAACAGAGAGGAAGGAGAGAGTCAGACAACAGAGAGGAAGGAGAGAGGCAAAGAACAGAGAGGAAGGAGAGAGGCAGAGAACAGAGAGGAAGGAGAGAAGCAGAGAACCTTTGGGAAGACAACGAAAAACTAAGAATGACTAAGCAAGAAAAACTGAAATCAAAGATGGTTAACCAAAGGAAAGATTTTGAGAGGCTTGTCTGACTAACTTAATGTACAAATTTGAAAACCAGGAGCGGAGCTGGAGTACGACCCTGTGTGTGTGCGGGGAGTACGATCCTCTGTGTGTAGGAGGTGAAGTACAACCCCTCTGTGTGGAGAAGCTAGAGTACGACTCTGGGGTGGCAGTGAAAGCGTTCAAAAGAGACTTATTCACGTTATTTCAGGGTAAAACTTCCATACTATTTTAATGAATGAAAATGGCATACCAGGACGTATACACACTAATAATAATAATAATAATAATACTACCAGTGTTCTTCTTGAAGCCGAACACAAGAGGCTTTCTCAAGTTATCACACTGAAACAAAAATCAAAAAATCGTCTATATGAAAGTGGCACATGATTGTAATCCCATGAACCTCACCCTCGTTATGGTTCAGTATTGCAGACTTTGACACAGTCGGGTTTCCGGCGAGTTTTCAACATTTCGCAGTTTTCGTGTCGTTGTTATATTCGGTTTCAAATTTTGTACAATCGCATAAGATTTTTGTCGGACACTGTAAGTTGCCAGACTTGGTGGGCGCTAGCAGACAGGATACTTGAAGGGTGGAGGTAAACACCGCGCTTTTAATTTTTCTACATTGTCCAATAACAGCCTAACACTTCCTCTCGGGAAGATGCATCGGCGTTCAAGGTTTTGAATCCGATCGAAACAGAGTTTCTCCCAATTTTGGTTTGGAAACAAGTCTGTTAATCAAATTGGCAAACTAAAATGTGAACTGCCTAAAAATAAAATTCGAAGCTCCCAATGAGCAAATTCCACCATCGCTAAAAGTTTGGGGCCTATCACAGGGGTCAGTCCCTCAGCCTGGAGGCTGAGGGACTGACCACCTCAAAACTTCGTCTTCAAGGGTGTTAGACTGATTACTTTGCCTTCACATCTCTACTGTTTCTTCTAACTCTTCTGTACGACTGAAGAAGTCTTCTGTGTAGCGGAACGTTTCAGAATAAAGATACCTACTGTTGACATATGTCTTTCTCTCAATTACTATTTTCTCCTAGGTAGGCTGCAGAGGGGGCTTAATTTATCACACGAAGTTTCTAATTACAGTGCAAAAGCTTAAGTTGAAGGTGATCGGATGAGGTGTTCTCGTGTTAAAGGGGAAACCTTGGAGGAGGAAGGAAAATCAGACAACCACTTGAAGGTGCTCCTTCGACGATACCTAATTAAAAATGTATAGCACTTTATAAAATTTAATTTTTAAGGGGGTGGAGGTGTAAGCCAGTGGGAAGGCCTCGGTCAAGTGACAAAAAGCTCCAGCGGCGGGTCATCATGTAACAAAGACCCACATCAGGGAACGTCCTGTTTCCTGGTGAATCTTACCAAATTTCATCTAAGCTAATTAAAATTAGAGAAGCTTAACCTTAAATAACTACCAGTAGCAGGCTGGTAGACTACAAACATTCAGGAAGGTACTACCGTCATGTTATACCAGTGTGAAACATTTCCCCACGAGTGGCGAAACGTTTCCTTTAATACATGTCCTGATCTGTACATAAGTATCTTTCTCCACACATGGGCCAGTAGGCCTACTGCAGTGTTCTCCTATCTTATTTTTTTTAGGGGGAGCCTGTTAAAAGGTTTGCACTCTGCCAGAACTATGATCATTTCATCCTGTCTTACAAATTGCTTCGTAAACTTATCTATACTTTCTTGGTTATTATTTAATGCGAGGCCCGACAGCGGTGCGATGATTCCTGGAAACATTAAGAAACAACAAATACTATTAAGTTTTACTCTCTGGTTAGATCATTAAGAAATAGAGGCACGTACATGCGCTAGACAGCGAGAGATGTACATACACCCATCTTGTCTGCTGCTGATGAACACACAAGGCCACCCATGTGTGTCTTCACTTGGTGCTGCTGCACACACACACAGGCAGATACATAAACAACTGATATAAAAGAGAGAGGCAAGAAATCGGTGATGGAGAGAAACTCCAGTTGTCTTTAAATTGGTAGATAAGACACATTTGATGTCTTTAAATTGTTCAAGTTGACCAGGAGCCCAGTAGTAGCAGCAGCAGTAGTAGCAGCAGCAGTAGTAGCAGCAGCAGTAGCAGTAGCAGCATTAGTAGAAGCAGCAGCAGCAGCAGCAGCAGCAGCAATAGCAGTAGCAGCAGCAGCAGCAGCAGCAGTAGCAGCAGCAGTAGCAGCAGCAGCAGCAGCAGCAGCAGCAGCAGCAGCAGTAGTAGTAGTAGCAGCAGCAGCAGCAGTAGCAGCAGCAGCAGCAGCAGCAGCAGTAGTAGCAGTAGCAGCAGTAGCAGCAGCAGCAGCAGCAGCAGCAGTAGCAGCAGCAGTAGCAGCAGCAGTAGCAGCAGCAGTAGCAGCAGCAGCAGCAGCAGCAACAACAACAACAACAGTAGCAGCAGCAGCAGCAGCAGTAGCAGCAGCAACAGTAACAACAACAACAACAACAGTAGCAGCAGTAGCAGCAGCAACAATAGCAGCATCAGCAACAACAGTAGCAGTAGCAGCAGCAACAAGAAAAACAGTAGCAGTAGCAGCAGCAGCAACAACAGTAGCAGCAGCAACAGAAGAAAGGAAAATAAGAGAAAAGGAAAAAATGAGGAGAGGAAAAAATCAGGGGAAGAAAATACTAGAGGAATAAAAGGAGAGTTGGGAAGAGGGTGTGTGTGTGTGTTGATTCACAGGATTGGCGACTTTAGAGCTGTGGGAGGCAGACGTAAACATTTAAAACAAACACTTTAGCTTCTTTTATGAACCTTTACTGACGAGGGTAAAGCAAGTGAGCCAGTATAAAAGAGAGGAGAGAGGGGGGGGAGGAAAGTGGGAGTATGATGGAGGGGAAAGAGGGGGGTAAGGGAAAGAAAGGGGAATATGATGGAGGGTAGACAGGGGGGAAGGGGAAGTGAGGGTATAAAGTAGATGGTTAGGGTAAAGGGAAATAGAGGTATGAAAGAGAGGAGAGGAGGTAAAGAGAAGTGGGGTTATAAAGAAGAGTAAAGTAATGTGGGGAGATAGGAAAGGACTGACGAAGGAATACAAAGAAAGAGAGAGAGAGAGAGAGAGGGGAGAGAGAGAGAGAGAATATTTGAGAGGTGGGCGGCAGGTCATTAGTCAAGTGAGGACAAACAAATGGTGATTGAGACACTGTAGGTAATAACATGTTGTCCAACTAGGGTGCCACTACAACACTGTTTTAATGATATGCAAGAAAAAGCATGAAATAACAGCCACCGTGTGTGTGTGTATAGTGTGTGTGTGTGTGTGTGTGTGTGTGTGTGTGTGTGTGTGTGTGTGTGTGTGTGTGTGTGGTGTGTGTGTGTGTGTGTGTGTGTAGAACTCGTACAGGTGTGTCCCTCTGGCGCTCATCTTCAGCTAAGTGAAAAATTGAACACCTGTAGAATTTAAATACTAGTTTGGATAACTAGCGTTTGAAGGATGACTCGCTAGTGTGGATAACATCCACAAAGCTACTCAACAAACACGCGAGGGTTCACTACTCACCAGTGTGGATGTAGGTGTGTTTCTTCATGTCAGACTTCTGGTGGAAGCGCTTGCCACAGTACTGGCAAGGGTAGGGCCTGGTGTCTGAGTGGATGAGCAGGTGTGTGGAGAGAGTGGATGACCTCTTGAAACACTTGCCACACTGCTTGCACTCAAACACCTTCTCAGCGTTGTGCACCGCTCTGTAACACACACCAACACACGCATCACTTAACACTCTCACATCACCAATTAACATATAGAACTTAATTATTAACCGTTTAACTCCAAAGATTTCATTGACAGGTAAAAAATATTATGCAGCCTTTCACCCACGCCGGGGCTTTGTAGAGTACATTATCACTCTCAGGAGAGAACCTTGAGTTTTTCCTAAGGTACGTTTAATGTCTTCTCTGAGGATGAGGGTCCCCGGTAAAGATCTAGAGGTGGTACCTCCCTATATATATATATATATGCAATAAGATCACAGTAAACAGGTGATTTCAAAATTGCAAAACAACCACTCTGAAAGAATAGAGAAATTCCAAGCGCTTTCGTGACTACTCACATTTCGTGAGTAGTCACGAAAGCGCTTGGAATTTCTCTATTCTTTCAGAGTGGTTGTTTTGCATATATATATATATATATATATATATATATATATATATATATATATATATATATATATATATATATTATATATATATATATATATATATTAGAAACACTGTATGTTATAAAGTTCTAATCCAGTGAGCCTTTTAACTCTGTGTAAAAAGTGGAATCTCCACAAGGATGGGAACAAGCAAATTAAGAATTATTTTGATGAGTACCATATGTATAACTTTATTCTTCATGGGTCATTTACCGGTAGAAATGGCGAAGGCTCGATCATCATCAAATGGTTAATGAGACGGCCCTCTCCAGGGGGCTGTCTCATAATGGTTCGGACATTTAGAAAGGATAGAACAAACTAGAATGACTTGGAGGGCGTATAAATCTGTAGTGGACGGAAGGCGGGGTTGGGGTCAGTCCAAGGAAAGGATAGAGCATGCACACTTTGTCTTGGTCTTACCTGTGCTGCGTGAGGCTGATCTCGTGACCAAAGGTCTTGTTGCAGTACTCGCAGGCGAACGGTCTCTTGCCGTTGTGTGATCGTCTGGAGTGGACCTCGAGACCGTGTGGGGTACTGAACATCTTCTCACACTTGATGCAGGAGTACACGTCGCCTAGGGGCAGGGGTTTGACCAAGGAGCCATCAAGGGGCAGCGAGCCGTGTCCTGGTAGTGACCATGGGAACAGGCTCTCTGAAGCCGCCATGCTCCACGGGAACGAGTAGCTCAGTGACGACGGCAGTGACGATGGGTACGACACAGCCAGGCTGTTGCGGTTGGCATCCAGACTCGTAGATGAAGATGCCTCGCCATCCTTTTTGAAAAGTACGAGGGGCGGCGGAGGATAGAGGCCCAGGGGGAGGCTAGGGGGTCGTGGCAGGTCGAGAAGGGAGTCTCGGTTGTGAAGAGGCAGGGAAGGCAGGAAGGGCCGACTAAGGGGAAAACTATGTGCCTCGCGAGGGGACAGAGATTGACCTAAACTTCCGGTTTCGCTAATCTTACTGGTAACTAGAGGCTCACGTAAACTAAATGTGGTTCCTTCATCTGGCTTCGACGTCAAGTTGAGAGCCATACTGAACTCCGGTACGGGCGCTCTGGTGATCACCGGCGACATTTTACCATAGAGGCTGCTGCAGACGACGGGACTGTCGTCTCGCGCTGACGGCGGCGACAGGAGACGAGGTATGGGAGACTTATTGTCTTGGCTGTGTTCCGCTTGTGTTTCTTGAGAGTCATTGAGCGGCGCTTCGTCAACGTTGTCTACCACTTCGATGTGCTCCTCGTCCTCCTCTTCTTCCTCCTCCTTAGTTTTCTCCTGGGCATCTTGACTACCACCGTCGGCGTGGTTGGTCCATGGGAGAGGCTGCGGCCCACCAGGGAGGAGATGGTGAAGGAGGACCTCTCAAAGG